CTTTAATCCTGGAGCAGGGGCGGGACTGTCTTCCACTGCGAGGTTGGTTGAGTAATCCGGCGAGCGTGTGCTGGGAGACCACGAGGTCAACATTCGAAGAAGATCCCATAAAAGGAGCCTGCCACCAACAAACCCTGAACTCTAAACATCTCTGTTTCCTAGTCCTATAAGCCTAAACCCACAGACGAAGACCTCCGAGATCTGCCCAAAGTCAAGCCGCTGCTCGGTCAGACTGCTCCGAGCGACGTAGGCCTCGGCGTAGCCACAAGAGAACGTCAGCAGATCCCCAAGCTCTTCCTTGAAACCGCTGAGTCAAGGAAAGTACCTAGTACTTCAGACCCACAGTCCCAACGCCTTAACGCGAAAGCAGGGGTCTATCTCGTGACTCTGCCTATCGCTCGTGCAGTTTTTTCTGCCGCTGTAGCAAAAAGTCCCAGTTGGCCACCCGGTACAGTTTTGTTGAGTTTGTACGGGTTTTACGTGGTCTCACAAGTTGGGCGTTGCTGTTGGAGTCTCGAGCCTCAAACTGAACCCTGGGCCCAACTGACCCTGTCTTTTTCCAAGCTGACTCGAGACCGTTGCATCGTGAATGTGAGAGAATCAGAAGTTTGGATATCCAGGTCTTTGCAAGTAAGTGGCAGCAGCTGTGCAGGGAGTTTGTACATTGAAGCAAGTCAGCTGAGAGCATTGAAGGATTTCTTGTCATCGCGATGCAAGCAGCGGGAATCGGTGGTCCATCTCGTCCCAAGCCAAGGTAAAGCCGCAACCGTAAGCCCCAGATTAGGCAGACTCATTGTTTTCGGCCCGGGACGCGGAATGGCTTCCTCTCGAGCTTGAACCCACAGTTGGAAGTGAAAAGGTGCCTTCGTCACAGGTGCTGATTTTCTGTCATGTGCATCAAGCATGTCAGGCGAGGCCCCCGCTCGCCTGCATTTCAGTACTCTCACCATTCGCGCTGGTAGACCTTTGGTGCCTCCTCCCCCTACCTCCCTCCCTCAAATGACGAAGTGCCCTGGGTTCTTGTAGGCTCGGGTTGGTAACTTGGTTGCACAATGGCAAGAGCCCGCTGAAGAATACAGCACTCCCCTTTGAAGTCTTTTTTAAAGACAAAGGTACACAACATGCAGAGTTGTCAGTGGCTTGCATTGTGGGGTGTCTCTTGCATCTTTACTTGACACAGTGGCTGAGACTTATGAGGCCCAGAAATGCACAAGTTTCACGGACAGCTCATCACCCGGGTCTCCTCGTTTTCGCATTATTCGGCCTCCGTCTCTCACCTCGAAGCCCTCTGTCGGCTTATCACACATAGTAGGTCCAACTTTAAGAACGAGCCGAGTCTTACCTCGTCATCCCGCTCCCGTCGTGTAGCTTACTCGTTTGTGGTGGACCATCATGATATATCGTGATCGTCTGAGGTTGGGTGATTTGGTACCGTGTTTGTTATGAATACTGAATACTTCGTCGGCGAATGTACTGGCCTGGAAAGCAACAGACCGTGGATGGCTTGAGGTCGCCACCATGCTTCGAGACTTGGGTGCTACTCCTCCGGCTGCGGATGCATCGGCCGGATCGGGTTTTTGGGGTTGCACTGTTCACGGTGTCGTGTCTGAGGGTTTATGGTTTCGTGCTGGAGTTTGTGACTTGGAAAGGCATTTGCTCGGGCCCCCATACTACTAGCAAGTCCCCTCATCCTGTAAGTAGGGCTTTGTTGACTGTTTGAGGACAAGGGCCGTCGAACTCTGCAGGTTGTCTGCTACACAGTGTCGTTTGGCTTTGGTTTGCAGTAGCAAAGAAGCGCCATGGAGTCACCAGGATCTATAGAAAGCAGTTCGACGGATCTGGCACCATTGGAACCGCATGGAGTACCACTTCACGTTTGCCTCCGCGGCTTCGGCCGGCACCTCGCCTCCTCGAGCGCCACAGTGGACACCTCGACGACAGCTCAGGTGCGGCCAGTTAGTTCCTACGACCACTTTCTCAGTCACGATTGGGGGACTCCTCGTTGGAGGAAAGTCCTCTCTTTGATGATCGTCTTCAATGCACCCGTGGCTTTCTGGACCACCCTGCTCGTGTCTATCAGTCTATCCTCTTGGGAATGCTCCAGGCATTTGAGCTCCTTCCGGAAGGACATTGGGTGGCCATCATTCCGCACCTGTCCTTCCTGTTACTCCTTTGCTTTTGGCAGCGTGTCCGGGCCCTTCTTCTGGGCCCCAAGAACGTCTTCTTGGACATCTTGTGCATTCCTCAAAATAATGACAACCTCAAAAAGCGAGGCATCATGGGACTCGGAAACAACTTGGAGTGTGCGCAGGAACTTACCGTGCTTTGGTCGCCGCGATACTTCACTCGGCTTTGGTGCCTTAGTCCTCCAATAGCCAACCTTTAGACTTTTTGGGTTCTGACAGTCTAGTCGTAATCTGAAAGTTTAACCTGTAATTTCCCTGGCTTCTTGGGGAAGTAAGGTGCGCCTACGAGATTGCCATGTTCCTCCGC